TTAAAAATAATGATTACAAAAAAATGCAAAAGAAATATATAAAATATATTTTAAGATCATGTGTAATCATCTGATTTGTCTGAACATTGCTGTTTTAGTCAGTTTTCTTCTAATTATCTCTTTTTCTTCTCTCAATTATTTTATTTATTTTGTGCACTCTAATCAATATTAATCAAACTATTGTTTGTTTGTACATTTTAAGAATAGCGTTGATGATACAAATGTTTGTGTCAGTAAATGTCTACTAACAGAGGCGGGGGTGTGTGTGGAAATAACGGGGATAGAGCTGGCTGCTGTCAGATGATCAGCTGTGCAGCGTCATCACAAACGGACGTCGCTTCACGTGACGTTCCGGAGGAAAGGACGTCCCATTGCTCTTAAAACTCATTTCCCTGCTTCTCGTGGTTTCCTTGCGTCTCTCCATGCTTCCCTGGTGGGAGGGACTAAACGCAGGGAAACGACGCAAGTGAGGGACGCAAGGAATCCATTTAACCGAAGTGAAACGCACCCTATGTGAATCATCGGAGTACTTTATTTATCCCGCGGGATTGGCTTTCTTGACATTTGCTGAATTTGAGAAATAAATACAATTAAATAAAATATGTATACAAACATAACAATTTGTAGTAAAACATCTAATAAAGGATCAAATAAAAATAAAATATTGATATAAACTTTAAATGTTAATGTAAAGTGCGTAATACAAATATTTAAATAAAGTAAAAATATGTATATGGACATAAAATGTCCAATAAACGATTAAATAAAATGAAATATATAAATACAAATATTTATATAACCATAACAAGTTAATGTAACATATCCAATAAAAGATCAAATAAAGTAAAATAAAAACATTCATATAAATATAGGAAGTTAAACAAATATTATTTTAATAAAAACATAAAAAAGAAAATATGTTTATATAAACATAAGAGTAATAATGTCCAAACATTGAAAGAATGAAAATATCTATATAAACATCAGAAGGTACAGTATTATAATGTACTGTCAACAGTGGTTTATTAACATTGTTAAGGTATCACCTCTGAGTTTTACAGTGAGGTTAGTTGTGAGTTTTTGAGACACAATAACAGGATCAGACGTCCGGCAGCAGCAGAATGTCTTTTATTTGTTATGGTTTGTTTCCTTCAGTATGAACTGCTCTTGTTTATTATGTGATGATTTATGAGGGTTGATCTGAGCCAGACAAGCTGTGTGACTATCTGTCAAACAACTAAAGGAATATTAGTTCAGTTGTGAGCAAGGTATGACACATGTATGTACGCACACACAGAGACAACAGCACATTGTGTGTTTTAAGTACCAACGCAGTGCACACACTACTAACACAATTCATCTCTTCTGTTTCAGGTGTATAAGATGTGCAGTAACACTTTCGACACCTACGACCAGCACTATGGGAGGGGGCTGCTGAAAGACTCCATTAAAGATGGTACGTGTGTGTATGGTTCACGTACAGAGGAATGGGGGGGCAAGGGACCACAATCTATTAAATTATGTCCAAGTCTGATCTAATTTGTGTTTCCTGTGTTTATGAATGAAGGGCACATAAAAAAAAGGTTTTGCTAGGATGATCTTTGTTAGCTAAGTTCCCTATTTTTTGCCATTTGTGAAAACAGGTGAGAAAATGTATTTACAGAAAGAGTGTGTTGTTGTAATACTCATTGTGTCCACCAGAGGCTGATGTGCACATAGCATTGAATGTTTTAGCACTAACTAGCATTAAAAATATTCATGTTCCCTTCCATGTGAGTTTACATTTCTCCCTGCACTCTACACAGACAGGACGTATTGTTTGTTCTGCAAAGCAGCCTTTATGGCAAACATATGTATTGAAACTACAAACACACTCGATGACAATGATCCTGGGAAAAGGAAATAGCTTCTGTGAAGGACCAGGGTACGCAAAGTCTAGGAGAGCAAATAGGGATTTTATTTAACCAAAATACATAACACTTTTTATTATATAAACAGATATATAAATGAATAAACACAGAGCTTCCAAAAAATGGGTGAACTGCCGAGTGCTCTTCCTCCCAAGTGCCACTGCCTTCCTCCACACTGCAGGAATGTATAGCAGTGCTGGACAGTCCGCTGTTGAGTAAAGGGGAGAGAAGACTCTGAAGATGGGTGGATTAGCTTGAGTGGCTTCTTTAAACACCCTTCAAGTTTTAGGGGAATGCTTCCGTAACTGTATATAACTAATATAAGACATTTAGACTTAATGCGACTGACTATGGAGTTTATTAGGAGTCTTTTGGAATAATCCTCAATTTAAAACAGCAATTCAGTCTCCATGTCTAACTGTCTCCTCTCTTCTCGTCTCCTCTCCTCTCTTCCAGGTCTGGCTAAATTCTTCCATAACGGTGTGAGTCTGAGGAAGGATGCGGTGTCGGCGAGTATCCGCAGAGTGCAGCGAATCCTCCGCTGGTTTGAGTCTCAGCAGCAGCTGGCCTTCTACGCCAGCTCCCTGCTGTTCGTCTACGAGGGCCTCCCCTCCTCTTCGTCCCCTCTTTCCTCACTGCTCGGCACGCCATCCATGAGCCCGACTGCAGGGCACACCGCCACGCTGTCATCGGCAGGTCACAGCGATCAGCGTGGGGAGGGGGACGCCAGACCAGAAGGGGCGAGGCAGGAAGAGGAAGTGGCCGAGTTCAACAACAACAACAACATTCAGGCACCCTGGGACTACAGCCTGGAAACCATTTACACCAATCACAGAAAAGGAGGCCACCAACACTGTGCCAAGGGTTGCCTAGGCAACAGTGGAGACGGGGATGGCGCGGAGACGAAGGCGAGCTTGGACTCTGCACCTTGTGAGGAAGATAACTCTGCGTGGAAAAGAACAGGTGAGTCGCTACCAGCGCCCAATGCAAACGGAAACAAATCACAACTGGAAGGGAAGGGCGAGGACGGAGAGGGGGGGAGGAGGAGAGAGGAGGAGGAACTAAAAGGACGAGGAGGCGGGGCAACAGAGGGGGCGGGCGGAGACACAGAGGTGGAGGTCAGGATGATCGACTTCGCCCACGTGTTCCCAAGCGAATGCCACGACCGCGGCTACAGCTACGGCCTCAGACACCTGCTGATGGTGCTGGAGCAGATCCTCTGCGACACCGCGTAGAGGTCTCACTCCTCCCCAGATCTCTTTACCTCCTGTGAACCTCATCCCTCCTGACTTCTCAATTAAAGACAGAGATGGAGAATCAAAGACGTGAATATAAAAAACATCATCGTCATCATCTCACCGTCGGGGATGGTTCGTCAATTGTGTGTGTGTGTGTCTGTATGTCTCTGTGTGTCTGTGTTTGTGTGTAAGCGAGGTGGAGACAGTAGAAGCTGACCGTTGTGTGTTCCCTGTGATCAGCAGCACTACATGCACTAATCAATCCATGAAGGCATTGCGACCCGGAACTTAAACGCAACGTCTCCAGATGCAAGATTTACAGATGCTCACACAACTCAATGTGACTTTAGTCCATTTGAAATGCAGCAATAGGGCATTTTTATATCATGGCCAAATATATATATATATATATATATATATATTTATATATAATATCAAAACATATATATATAATATATCATTAGAATTTGTCAGATTTTTCTACACCGCTTATACTGTTATAGCTGTTCCCTTTAAATATCTCTGGTTGTATCAGCCTATTGCAGTGCTGCAAATCAATACGCAGCAGTGTAATGGCAATATCCATTTTACATGATTTTTCCATTTATTTATTTAAAGTAGTTAGATTTACTGTTATGCAATTCACTAGAAAAGTCTGAAGCAAATATTGCCAATTGTGTGTATTTGGTTAAAGAGAGGTGTACTGTTGGATATGCAGTCAAACTAGAAAACTACCCAACTTTTAGACCACTTTTTTATCCTCATCTTGGATTTGGTTCATATAGGTTAAATAATTCAACGAAAATAAGTGTTTCCGTTGGTACCCATTGAACCCAAAAACAGAAAAGGCACATTAATGGCCTCTTGAAGTGTGGGCAGCGCGTAAAACAGGAAGTCTGGAGGCGTTGAGGTTTAAGTCGGGTCGTCATTTTGTGTTTTTGTTTAAACACTGTCTACAGGTATCTAACTCAGGTAAATGTACTGTAAGAAATAAATACTTAATATTACTACTATGACCGTGTCCGCAGGATGATCCTCATGCTGTGTGCTCGTTCAGCTTGATGTGTTGTGTACTCCATGTTTCTCTGATCTCAAGTCATGTTCCTGCCTCTCATGACCTTCCACGTCTTATTAGCTTTTACCATGGCTGTTTTAATCGTTGTAAATGTTCAGCTGCCAAACCCCCCCCCCAACCTCTTCTGAGACCCTGAGCTCTGTGCTGTGTTTATTGCAGTTACTTGGTGCCCCCCCTCTCTTTCTGCCCTAGTTTTAGGAACGACATTATATTGTTGTACTCATTTGTTTAAAGAAAAGGTTTATCAGAAGATAACACTGCTCATTGGTTGGTCTTTAGTTCCGTTGCTCTGGCGTTACCCATGAGCTTTTCTATGATTGAGTTGTTATAATGTGAGTTATTACTGGGCAACAATAGGAACTACTTCCCTCCCAAGTTCTGGATAGTTTTTCTGTGTTTAAGGGCAAAAGAGAGATGTTATACTGGAAAAGACATGATGCTGTGCTTGGTTGTCATGACGATACATACTAGTGTGATAAAACTTCCCTGAGGATTTTAAGATTGTAGATATTTGAAACGTGCTGCTTTATGCGAGCCGCCTGACAGACTCAGCAGAGGGACAGAATGCTAAAGAGAGAGTCGCCTGACAGACTCAGCAGAGGGACAGAATGCTAAAGAGAGAAGACAGCCAACGAATGCTTTCATGTCATGTTCATTTTATTTGACTTTGATTTGGTTCTGGCTTGGTGCAGATGGGCAGTCATTTTAATGTACTGGTTGTGAGAAGTCAGCACGTCCTTTTTACACTAATATCAGTTGAACTGATTTATGTTGCTTTTTTATTTTGTTGGGTTGAATAATATAGTTTTTTAGGCGAATGCACCCTCTGAATCTGCAGATATTCTGTATGCATATCACAGTTCTTACTACTATCCTGCCAGGTATGTTAAAGATTAGCAAACGTTCCATTTCCACCGATGATATTCATTGAGCTGTGAATTGATGGAAGCCCAAAGCTGCCTCAGTTGCTACCAATATTTTCTATATTTTCTTGAGAATATGTTTTCATTCAATCGTGAGTTCCATTTCTCATAGCTTAGTTTGATTACAAACATTTTATCTCCAGTTTCTGGAGCTTTCAGCCACGTCTCATCGTCTTCATCAGCAGATTGTGTTTCCTCAATTAAAGGACACACTGTAGGCTTTGGAAAATAAATAGTAAGTGGACCAAATTATTATAAGCAGCTGTTTCCATTTTCTATATATAAACCTTAAACTTTATTTTTTTTATCCTGAGATTTACATGATTTGTTTACAATCTGAATTACTCCATGATGAAACACACTCAAAATGAGAATATAAGGCAGAGGGATTGGATTTGAGTCCAAACATGTTTGGAAATATCCACCACTAAATTACAAAGGAGTGGTGCAGGAATGAGTCCTTAAAACCCAGAAATGAGTCAGCATTTTACCGCTTCTGGATCCCTCGTCTCGGAGAGTTGTTGTAACATGTTTGTGATTAGATGCCTGAAATAAGGTCTGTGGGTAACACCACCGGAAGAGACTTTTTGCGTTTTGTTTTATGACATCAAATATGTCAGTAAATACCCCACTGTAAATATTCAAAGCTTCTACATCTCATTAAAAACTGGCTAAATGAGACAACTAAACGTCATCACGCTGACCGTTAGCCGCTAGCTAAAGCTGCTAGCTAAGGAGGTTAGCTTTTTACTGTTGGAAATTGCATTTGAAAATCCTGAAAGTAGAGATAATATGTGGAGATGATGCTCCGGAACCCAGAGTTTATTTCTTGTAATTACCGACATTCCTCTTGAACAATCCCATTAGTTTTGTGGAGGAAGCCGATTGCGATGCTAACTGTGCGCCGCTCATCACTGCACCACTCTCTTTAAGATCTGAAAGTGAGATGTTGAATACATGTAGATCCTCACATTAGAGCTGCAGTCACACCTCTAGAGTCCAGCCCTACTTTAACAGGACAGACTTGTAACGGTTTGATTTCCTTAAGACAGCCATCCTGGTGTTTTTAGGATCATTTGCTATATATTGTTTTCTCTTCGTGAGCAGTTGCTTTGCCCTGTCTGTTCTCCACACTAACATGGAGCTGATTTAAACTGACACCCTTCCCTCAGGCCCTCTTCCCTCAGCCTCTCTTTGATTTTAACCCATCACTTGTCTCTTCAGTTTATGTAGCTTGTTATATGTGAATAGAATGAAAATGCTGATATTTTGTAAATGAACTCGAATCATGATTTTATTCTATACCAAAAGAGACTGCAAACTATTAGAATATCATATTTTCTCTAAGGTTTTTTTTCCTTTTATAATAAATTGATGTTTGAAGTAATCAAATCTTTTAAAGGATGTTTACAGGAGATAGAGATTTATTTTAATCACTGCCTTTTTCTCTGTTGATGTCTCCTCTTTGTGTTGAATATGATTTATTTGTATCATTCCGGCAGCTTTGTGAATCTCCTCTGTGTTTAGGCTGTGTCGTCATGGCTACATAACAAATAACATATCATGCATTTGTATACTGGGCATTGTTAATGGAATGAGTTGAATGATAAACTGAATTATAGTGATGATGCAATGTTTGATTTTCTGCAGGAGAATCCCAAATCAGCTAACATTGATCTCAGTGTAGGTGGGCACATTAACTAAGGACCAAAGCAGGTTTATTATACTTATCATTAATTCCCAAGACTTTTTAAATTTAGACTGATTTAAAAAAGTGTGAATCTCTTAATCATCAGAAAGAAAAGCAAAGTCTGCCTGGAGTGTGCCACTAAAGGCTTTTACAGTGTATGTCAAATGATATCAAATGATTAAACACATTTTACAAAACAGTAAAACACATTTGCATTTGAATCATTTTTGCTTTATTCTGTATTTAAATGTGATAATCGTTAGAATGAAAATGTAATTGTTTATTTTTTACATTTACTGCCTATCATATTCACTCTCTATTGGCAGTTTTTATTTAATGTTTAAACTATTGAAACTCACTGAGCAGCACGGGGAGCTCTGATTGGCTGGTTGTTCTGAATCTGACCAATCAGAGCTCCTGCTTCTGCCTCATTCCTTGTACAGTGATACAAATGCAAAAATGACAGCAAGAAGAAAGTATAATGTGGAATATGGTAAGCCGACAAGGTGAACAGAAAACGATTATAATTGAAATATGGAATAAAGAAATATAATTTTTGGCAATTTTGTATTGGTGTTTTAATCTATTTTATTGAGTCAATTTATCATTAAAATACAAATCAATGTATTGTATTTTTGAATCATATATGATTGATTTGGTCATAATAAAACCATGTAAAGGTCATTCATTATTTCAGTGGCACGGTCCAGGCTGCCTTCAGGTTACTAGGGGACAGTCATTTGATAAAGTACATGCTATTTGTTCAAACATGCATAAATATGAATATGGTCATACAGACATTTAGTGACATCTGCCTGAGACATGTCCCATGCTATCCTGTAACATTTGAAGCCAAACAAACCAAACATCTTGCATAATGTGGATGTTTGGAATGTATATCGGAGTTACACTGCTCACCTTCTCCGCGTCAAATTGTTGCACATTTAGCCATACTGGAAAGTGATAGTGATTAGACCGACTTCATGCTCTATGCTTTACTGTGTTTACATCTCAACTGCCACAACTTTTCTTTTTTTTAACTCCAGGTTGTTAGTGACTTTATTCCTGTTATTTGTATTTGTCTATCATGCACCGCAGACTGATGGAATAGTTTGTGACTTTTCGCTCTCCTGTGAACAAAATGCCGAACCAGTCGCTCTCCATTAAAGAATCGTGAAGCTGGTTTGACGTGTTTTAGATAATTGGCCACAAATACTGTACGTTACTTCCAGCAGATTTCAAAGCACCCTGCTCTCTGTAAAATCAACACAACTATATTTCATCCACTCTTTTCTGTTGGCACGATTCCTGTAACTTAATACATTTTCACTTAAATCATGAAGTAAACACTTTCTTCAGATCTTAGAGTGAGTTCACTCCAACGGATTCAAGTAGTATAATACATGTATTGATGATCGTGCATGGACATTGCAAGCTTACTAGTGTTTACTTTCTGCCTTTTATTGGCTTCAAAATGGCAAAGAAGGTCCTTTTTATCATTTTGAAATGTAAATAGTGGGTGCTGTGATCAGACTTAACAGCAGCTGGTAAGAAGAGTGAAAATCAGTCTTCAGAACTGGTGCTTTGAAAAATGGACAGCAGTACTGGACAAATCAGTGGAAATGAAAAAACAGCCATGCTTCCTTAATGGGGTCCAGCGTGAAAAGAGTGAAGGCAGAGTAATGGAAGACGAGTGTCTGTAGTGGGTAATGCTGCATTTATGTCATATAGGAAGGAACCATATCTTTCTCTACATTTATCAGAGGGTTTGAATTCATCATTTCAAAGCTGAGGTGAACTGCATTTTTTAAATACATATTTTCCCATTAGACATAAATGCAGCATTATCCGAGTGCACACAATCTCTGTTTCTGATTGGCTGAGCTGCCTCCAACTCTTTTCTTCTGGGTGACGACTTCTGATCCACTTAAGTGTCTTCATGAGGCCTGATGGAGCGTTCAGGTGTAAATGCAGTCAGTAGGTCATTGGGGTGTCGGAGCTGATCAGTGTGAATGATGTGTCATGGTGTCGTTGGACTGCCAGCATTCAAACATAGAACCTGTAATTGGAAGTTAAAGGGACTGACCCTGTAATGGACATGTATCTCTTTAACTCCTTTATTGTGGATATTGGAGTGTTTGAATTTTGATATACTGGGTTTAAAATGTCTTACAAATGAGCCTGAGCAGGAAATCTCATCAGTGTACATAAAGAGAGGAACTCCTGTTGAAGTCCCTCCACAACTACAAACCTGATACTCGTTATTTTTTCAACAATAAAAATATTAATCAAACTGATGATGTCTTGTTTCTGGAGTCCCCTTTGTATTAGTGTTTAAAAAACAAAATGTGATTCATCATGTATCTGCTTTCTCACAGCGCTTTTTTAATTGCTTTATATTTGCAAAAGCAGTCTATTACTCACTCTGGGATTACTTTTGGTTAAGCACTTTCAAAATCTAGTTTAATAGATGCCTATACTCCAGCTTAAATCATCCCATAGGCCTTCAAATTCATCTGGTTTCCCTTTGGTGTTTGGAATGCACTGAAGTAGTTATATTCATGCTGCATTCGTCTCATTAGTATGCATAAAAAAGTGACAGGTCACACCTCCCCCAATTATGCAAATGAGCTAAGTCCCGCCTCCCATTTGGTCGAGGTGTGATATCCCGAGTTGGTGTGAGATCCGTCAATAGGAGGGGGTGATGTGTATTCACAGGTGTGAAAAAGCCCCCACTGTAGCGCCTTATGGCATAAAAAAAAAAAAAAATGCTGTTTCCATCACATTAGTATGCATCAAAACTGACAGGTGGACCCGCCCCCAAGTGTGTGTGTGTGTGTGTGTGTGTGTGTGTGTGTGTGTGTGTGGGGACCTTCACTGCTGTCCCCCCATGGAGCTACAGGTGCCTGTTAGGCTCTTAAGCGCCCAGGGTCCTGCAGTCGGCCTGAGGCTGTAAAAGTACAGAAAAGCAGACAGGGTGGTTGCGAGGTGACTATGTATTAGAGAGCCTGAGGAGACACATTTTACCGCCCATGCCTGACTGTTTATCTGTGCATTTTCAACTGTACACAATACAACACAAAAATGCCCAGTGCTGCTAAGAAATAAGTTCAGAAAGCTCTGACTCCAGTGGAACACTGTTAGAGTCAAAAGTAACTCTCAATGTATTCAGACAGAGTATGCAGATTCGGGCTGATCAGAACAAAGAAAGCACCTTTTGCCTTCCTAGTCAAAAGTGTTGATTAAGTTAGTCTGCACACACTCCCTTACTGTCACCCTTACCTCTTCCTATGGCTGTCAGGCCTTTTGGTGTGTGTGTGTGTGTGTGTGTGTGTGTGTGTGTGTGTGTGTGTGTGTGTGTGTGTGTGTGTGTGTGTGTGTGTGTGTGTGTGTGTGTGTGTGAGCCTGGCCCTGCCCCCTCCTCCCCCCTTCCTGCCATCTTATCACTAGACAGAGGGGGGAGGGCTAAAACAAAGTGTCTGTAAAGGTGGGGGGAGACTGTCTCCCCCCTTCCTGCCATCTCTCTCTGTTTCTGCTGATGTGTAAAATATACAAAATAACGTTTTATATACTTACTCTCTTGTTAAAAGGTGATGAAGTTTGCAGCGTAAGCCAGCCATCAGTGTTCTAGTTTTAAGGTTTTGCATAACTCAAAGTGTGTAAAAGTATCTTGACAAGAGAAAAAAAGCCAAAATTCGCCTAGGCCATTAGAAAGAAACCGAATTGCTGCTAAGAAATAAGTTCAGAAAGCTATGACTCCAGTGGAACACGGTTAGAGTCAAAAGTAACTCTCAATGTATTCAGACGGAGTATGGCAGATTGGGGCTGATCAGAACAAAGAAAGCACCTTTTGCCTTCCTAGTCAAACGTGTTGATTAAGTTAGTCTGCACACACCCCCTTACTGTCACCCTTTCCC